TAAAGGCAAGTAATCAAGATGAGTTCTCTAATAGTGTGATATCAGGAGCATATCTAAGTATGTCAACCAAACAACGATTATCTTATTTATTTACATTGAATTTGACCTTTTTTTTTATGTATGCATCTGTTTCGTTTTTGACATTCTGCAACGCTTACAGACGAGGTCGAATACAAACTGCAAAATAGAAACATACGAGAACAGAATGTTAATCACATCTTGATCAAAATATGACTCTATTTAAAGTTATATAAATGAAGAGGGGGAAAATGAGCCAGGAAGTATTAGAAAAAAATCTTGTCAGTACGATTGCATAAGAAACCAAAGTGTGAAACTTATAAAGTCTGACTCCTATAAATGTATGGTATATTGATAGAGGATGTTACAGTCTCCTAATGATAAAATATTCAATACATGCTATAGAAAGCGGCAAATAACATTTTATTCTTCATTTCGTTCGGTGCAACCACCATATTAACCTACTATACACATTGATTTAACTGTTCACTAATCTTCCAAGCATATCATCCTTACTATGAGCAAACTTTGAATTCAATCAGTTCATATTTTTCTACACTTGTTCTATTCTGGTTATCTCAGATTAGTACCTATAATAAGATTTCTTTGCTGTATTAAATACTAAAAGTTGCAATATTTAGGCTAGTTAGAATCTATACTAAAATTTTTGACTTGTAGAATTTTTGAAGGATTCTAGAAAATTTCAGAATGATCTAAGCACTGTTATTACTGATGCGCTTTCTGCCATTGCTAGAAGAACGTATCTAATGATCGTTGACTTTCCTTCTTCCATCCCTGTTTGGTAACGTCTATGGCAGAGGGAATCGCAAAAACCTTGATTTAGACTAATATTTACTATATTCTTCGAAATTAAATGAGGGTTCCACAAAAAACGACGAGTGTTTGTGCCATAAGCTATTGTTATTATTTTCAGCAAAAATTTTCACCATACATTTTTATTTGTTTTTTTTTCTCTTAAATTCGCTCCAGCATGAAATATCATTGAGGAGGAGTAAAGTTGAAAGATATGATTTATAGCTTTTTGAAGGTTTTTTCCTGATATTTTATTTAACCCTATAATCTAGATCTTTTTCCTAATGGAACTCTCTTGTCTACTTTCAAGTAGCTCAAAAATATTAGTTTAGATTCTTCAGTGACTTTTCATTAATTAATGAAACTTCTTTTCTCATGTATAAATAAATCGTAATAGAAAGAGATCCCAGTGTAGTCAATTTAATCGCTAACAAGCAATGATTTGTTCTATTATGCATGTGATAATGCAATTCCACATTATAGTAATACGTCATCTGAAAATGCGAGATAATGTCTTGACTTTATCTATGTAATATATATCTAGTTTATTTAGGTATCTCAATATGAAAAAAATGTTGACATATATTATTCGTTACGTGTTTATTCAACATGTCAATTTACTTTAACTCCAGTACCTGATTATTATAATCCACGATATCAACAAGAAATCACTGGTGAATGGAAAGGGAAAACAGCTGGCGGTTGTCAAAATAATGCTTCAACATATAAAAACAATCCACTCTATCAACTTGTATTAAATAATCGCGATGCAAATAATTATGGTATGTACAGTTTATATTCAAATAAAGTTTTTTGTTATTATTGTTAAATTTAATTTCTTTCTAGTTAAAATTGAATTACGTGCACCAAAACAATTTCAAGTTGGATTTGAAGTGACATGTACAGAAACTAAAGTTTCCAATGCTCCTGGAGAATTTCATAAAACAGAATCCGGAGCGTATCGATCAGGATTTTGTGTATTAACACTTGATAATATACCGGGTGGAACATATACGATTCGTCCAGCAACATTTGATTCGAATTGTGAATCACCTTTTTTTCTTCATGTTGCATCGTCTCATTCGTGCACATTGACAAAATTACAATAATTTGTAATATATATTTCTCTTTTGTTGTATTATTTCAAATGGAATGTTAAATCCCGGTGCAGATTATTTTCTTTGTTCACGATGTTTCTACTCTGTATTATAGCAAAGCAAATGTAACAAAAATATATTTTTTTTCTTCTTAACAAATAATGTCGGACATGGACGAATTTAAAATTAATGATTTTCTATTTGAAGAAAAATATTGATTGATTCAAAAATTATATTTTAAATAAGAAACTAACATTAATTCATATCATTTCTATGATTCATCTACTTGCACAAAATTTCTAATGGAGAGTTCATAAAGAATGAATGAGAGATCATTAATGGCTGCTGAAAGCATTTGTAACGTTGGATTACTGTTGTTGAATCTTATTTGGTATAGTTGAGATTTCAATTTTAGCAGTAGAAAGGAGTCACAAAGATTTTCATCCGTGGGATATGCTCCATCAACGTATGCTTTGATATAATTTGGCATTCAATCTGTTGGTAGTCCAAAATATCCAATGTCTCGTGTTTTCATACCGAAAACTGACACATTGAAAACCTATCCTCTATTTCTCTTCTTTTACAATTTGGAAACTTGTATTAGGCAATAATTACCAAGCTAACTTGTTTCTACTAAATTTCGATAGCATGAGCTTTATTAGGTTATATTCTGTAGAAAAAACTGTAAGTTACATTTGTGTGAACTTTTGCTTTGATGAACTTTGACTACTCGTGGATTGTTTGATAACAGTCGAACATATCGACTAAGCTTCTTATTCTCTATTATAATGATATAACTATGATCAATCACAAGTATCAATTGAACAGCATTCATTGTATCTGTATAAGCACAAGCTAAAGAGCAATTAGAACAGACAGCATGCATTTTCTCTGTTAAGATTTATCAGGTCTATTGTGATAATTTTCTGTTCATATAACATCGTATTTCGCAGTCGTTATCGTGAGTCACACATAATCATGAAAATGTCTATATATTATGACTGAATACTTGACGTCAATATAGAGCTTTTAAGAGAACAAGTCAAAACAATTTTTGTAGTGTCCTATGCAACTTTTAAGAGTTTAATACTCGTAGCAAGTCTTCAAGTTCTACATATATAATCGAATGAGAATACCACAGAGACAGAAAAAAGGCATCGGATTATCTCATATATCGATATGAATAGTGAATCGTTACCAACTAGGAGAAGTTAAAAACTTGTAACAACTTTTCGAGTTTTAGATGTATGCAGTTTTTTGTTCAAAGACAATTACAGTACAAAGTATCTTCGTTATGAAAACACAAGGAAAAAAACTAACACACTATCTTAAGCCAACAATAAGTAATGAGAGTATCACATTCAAATACAGCATGAATTCTATCAGAAGTGCGTTTTCAAGTAAATACTTGTAGTTTTGAATTTAGTCATATCAAATTAGAATTAAATGGCCTGGAACTGTAAAGACATGACTTGTATTTCATTGGTCGGTATTTTATAATGCATATTCAGCATGTTTTTTAGTACACGGTCAGTAATAATTTGTTCAATGAAAAATTGGTTTTAGAATAGTGAATAATTTAAAAAGCCTAGCAATTAATTTAAAAAAATTTAACATTTAATTTATATCATTAAAAACATTAGAATTACAATTAACAAAAGTTTATTGCATCAGTAATGTTGTTTTTTATTGCCTCTTCAGCTTCTTTAACATTATTGAACACCATTTCGTTTACCTGATTCCATTGTCTCTTTTTTTTTCTCTTTTCTTGTTTCGATTATTTACAGTTTCATTTGTATTTATCTCCTCTTCAGAAACTTAAGCTGAGAGTTCAACGATTTCCATTTGCCGTTGTTGTTTTCAAATCTAACTATGTATAATATTGTTAACAAGTGATTGATCTAGCGCATCAATACTAAATCATGTCTTTCAGTTTCCAAATGAAAGCTATATATATATTTGAATGAAATAGGGAAAAACACCAATGACATTTGGAAGAATGGAAAATTAGAGCAAAACAAAGTACTTAAACTATGTAAAGAGAAGAGAACGCCTAGAAAACATCTTATATAATGCAAAGTTCTTTTGATCGATGATATAGTCATCAGTTAACAGGAAGAAGCAATCTTCTTTTTACACCAGAATGTTTTCACTGAAAAAATAAAAATGACTGTTGACCCAAGAACTATTCATTTAATGCGTGAATAAACTTTTTAATAAGAAAACTAAATTAGTTATTGATACATTAATTTTGGCATTATTAAACTACTGAATAAATATAATAGTTATCGAGTATTAAATTTTATACTGATGATTCGTATATAGAACTGAGAAAATATACAGACCATTTACAAAAAAATACTCAGCATTTTTTTTGTTCTCTATAAATGTAGATGATATATTACTTACTGAATATATTTGGATAAAACAAAAGTTGTTCATAGATTTAAATTTACAACTGTGTAGAATATTTGTTCATTAGAGTATTCGTATCACCTTATTCATTCATTATTAATTCATAAAATACTACAATTTTGAATATAATATTTATAATATTATTTTAGAAAAATTTTTCTAAATGAAGTAGACGGCTTATTAATAAAAAAAAGTAAAGCTCAATGATGGATGGACTTTGATACAAACAGACTAAAGAATTGTATTTAATGAAAAGATTCAAAGTTCCTCTACATATGTCATGTTCTCATTGACAGTTTACAAAAAGTTATTTTAAAAATCACATAACATATAATTATATTCCTCGCATTTTGTTTTAACAAGTATTATAAATGTTAGACAAACCGAAAAATTGTTATCATCTTCTTCAATTATTTTCCCGAATGATTGAAAAGAAATGAATGATAAGATACACAGCAAGAAACTAGTAAATTATAGATTCTTCACAGACTTACTGAATAGAAAGTAGGTTGGAAAGCCTTTGATTAACTCATTCATTCGAAGGACTCACAATATATTATTTAGAAGCAATATATGTCATTACTATATGAAAATTTTTTTCTAGAACAGTCTTCGAATCATTTACTTATTGTTAACGAGTATTTTTCAACAGCAAACATGGTGTCAGCAAACATAAGTGCTAGTGAGATTGTTGCAATTGATGAAATTGGAATTAAATTTGTAAGTATTTGGTGCTATTTAATGCTTATACTTGGTCTCATTGGTCATACATTGAACATGTGTGTCTTCACACGTTCATCACTTCGATCAAACCCATGTTCATGCTACTTTTTGGCAGCAACAGTAAGTGGCATCTGTGTTGTTACCATCAATATATTCTTACGACTTCTTCAAACTGTATATCGGATTGATATTTTTGTGCGCTCATTGACGGCGTGTAAAATTCTGACATTGTTTTTTATGTGCAATAGGTAATGAATGAATTTTTACATTATCAATTAACTAATTTCTTTTCTTTTGGTTTTCATAGAGCACTGTATGCATGGTTTATTGTTCTGACATCTATTGATCGGTAAATGAAATTATTATCAAATTTGAAATAACATTAAATTCTGAAATCACTTTTTAATTTTATATTAGAGGTTTTTATTTTCGAGGATAATTATAATTAAGTTTAAGAGCCATGAATTTACCTTTGAATAGACTTATCATAGCTTCTTTTTCAAAATAAGCTGCATTTTCTCTATTTTTCATTTAATACATCATATGTGTGAATTCGATTATCATGATACTATATTATTTGCATGTTCTCGTAATTCATATTACCTATAAATTTGTTTCATTTTCTCACTGTTCTCTCTTTATTAATCAATTGCTGAAAATTTTGACTTTTGCTTGATCTACTAATCATAGATATTTGATACAGGGATGCAATGGTGATACTAACCGTGAAGCCGATGAGCACATGAATAATCTACTATGATGATAGGAGTATTAACTTATTAGCTTCTCTGAGCATAATGTGGTTTGAACAATAGAGAAAAAAAGCGATCATCACCGTATGTTCATAATGCGCTCATCAGTTATAATAGTAATGCTTAAGAAAGTGCGTTCTTTATTTAATAATAATCTCGTACAAAAACCTAGACTTTTTTCACTACAAATAGAAAAATAATTTCTTCTCTCTGAACTTGATCATCATCGAACTAGGTTCGTAACTCTTGACTGTGAATGACATTGATTTCGTAAACAACATATTCTTAGAAGATTTCTAATAGTTTTCCAAATTACTAATTAGTATTCTCTTAAGTCAAAACAAGAGTTATCACTTGACCAATAGAACTCTCAGAACTATTGAGAAATTTTACGATAAATTGATCATCTCGAATGAATTTTTGTTACTCTTAGGTTTCTGTGCAGCTCATCATCTGCTTCATTTCGTGCGTTAAGTAGTCTTCGCGTTGTTTATCGTACTGTTCCTCTCACAGTTGTACTCGTTGGTCTCGCATACATTCATGTACTCTTCTATTATCGAATTAGCATCCAACAACAAGCATGTGTTCCAATGACAGGTGTATATCAACAATTTTTTGGTGTATGGCATCTTGTTGCATTCAGTTTAGTTCCACCAATGCTGATGCTTTTCTTTGGATTAAGTACAATTCGAAGTATTCGTCAATCGATTAGACGCGTTGGACAAAATAATATTCAAATTCAAATTCCACGACAGCAACTTCGAAAATCAATAGACCGACAAATGATCCAAATGATGCTCGTTCAATGTATTGTATTTATTTTGACAGGATCTCTTCCTTCAATAAATTATCTTTATACATCACTCAGATCGAATGTCACAATAGATGCTCTACAATCAGCTAAAGATAACTTATTGCAACGCTTTACTGGCTTTATATCTCTTACAGTTCCGTGTCTAAGTTTTTATCTATTCACATTGTCAAGTAAATTATTTCGTAAGGAACTCATTAAACTGTTTCGTGGTAAGTGGCAACCTATCCATGGAACTACTACTGTCATCTCTCAATCACGAAGACACTAATACGTCACTCTTCAATGTAGAGTTTTATATCAATAATCAAACAACAGGCAATACAATACTTCAAACTTTTTCTTATATGCCTGTCAAAAGAAATATTCCTATGTATATATTATGTTATATAATCTGATTGTGCTTTTCAGTAATTCTTCGTATTATTCTACTTCAAAGTGTTGTCTGAAAGATACAGCACACATTCTCATTACTTAATAAATATTGTATTGCACATAAAAGTCATGAAAATGATGTTGATAAGCATACTTGTAGTATCTCACATACTCAAAATTGCTACTATAAAAAGAGCAATGACACTGTATATTCAGCAGATTAAAAATCAGGTTTCATTTAATGTGGAAATCTTGTTCACGATTGACCACAAAATCCGTCACGATCTTGTAAGGTTCAAAAAAAATTGTAAAAGAAGGTGATTATGAGCAATCCTTATGGTTTTTCCTAGTTATGTCTAAACTCTGTATACATTGAAATTTGAGTATCTTGACCTAGGTACACCATAAGCACGTCATATTTTTTATTTGTTAGTTTGACAATCAGGCTTTGAATTTGACCCAAACATGTCCAGTTTTCTTCAGTTACAGTACACACCTTCATTGTCAGAGGAACAATGAATTTATTTTTTAGTGGTTCACAAAATAAAAATTATTTATACATACATAAAAACAGGTTCACCACTACATTCGAGTGACGTTTGACTTTCAATATTTTTATATTCAAGCGAATACTCAAGTAAAACAATTCGTGCATTTAAATTCGTCTAAATAAACAATCAAAAGAACAAATTGTAATTATATTATTTCATTAATAGATCTCAGTACTTTTTCGTTTTTAAAAGTAAATAAGAATCTTTTATTGAATCTCCTGGTAGTTATATTAAAAACTAATTTACAAAACAAGCAAAGAAAACAAAGTTTTTTTCGAATTGAGCATATCGTTTGATATTATTATCTCGACGTCCATTGTTATCACTCATTACAGTTTGTTCAACATCTAGTGACATTTAACAAATCAAATCTTTCTTAATTTTATTTAGTCATAGAAAAAAAAATAACTTTCAAACATATCATCTTGATAAATATATTGTTCCAATACAAGTTTTTACTGTAAGTAATACTTTACGATATTTAATTCCAACTTAGGAGTGCAATAAATCTCTAATAGATTTGAGATTTGGGACCAAACCTTTGAAATTTAGATTTGGATTCGATTTTTGAAATTTGAGATTTGGTCTAGATTTTGTTCTAGACTTGAATTTCGTTCGAATCTGGTTCGAACTTAGCACTAAGGATTTTAACTAAATTTCGATTTGCAATTGGGGATTTGGGTTTTATATATGTTTTATTTAGAGTCTTGCTAAGTTGTATAAATTTCGTATTACTGATCTTATCATGTATCTCTTACAAAGCTTTCTGAGTCATATCTATTCTCACTTATTCAATCACTTTGAACTTGGTTTTAAATTATGAAAAATAAATACAACAAAAACCTAAATTACAAGAGAGAAATATGTTTGTCTATCTATCACGAGTAGGATAGTTAAAAAATAATGTTCATAATTACTTAACTCTAAAATAAAACTTTTGTTTTCAACAATACCACAAAGCATAAAAGTAAAATATTTTCCTCTTCTAACTCAAATTTTATCATATTTATCAGTCATCCTACGTTTTAATTTTTAAATAGCAGACAATTAAATCATTTGAAGAATACCCGATATTATGGAAAAGCAAAAAGAAATAAAATTTTTCTACAGTAACATAAATAAAAGAAGAAAATTTTAAGAGTCCATGGAATAAACTAAAAATGTTGACTTCTGTTTTTCATATAGTCGCTCACATACAGATAAGTTTCATTAAGACTTAGAATACCCTCCAAAAAGTCATTCAATAATGTTGCATTTGTTGCATTCAAACCACAAGTACTTGCTATGATCCGTGGTTACTTGAGAGTACAGATTTGAGTGAATGTGGCTATGAATGACTGGAAGATCCACCTTCACACCCAAATCTACATCTGTCACAAAAAATATTCGACAAACAAAGAATCAAACTATAAATTTCTCTAATCAAAATAGAATAATCGTCACAAAGAATAGAAAGTATCATGGAAAATGCACGAAAGCACCATTCAAGCAGTGAAGTTATGGCTGATCACCACCAAAGTTTCAACCATCTCTTTCCACTACGAATCATCGTCGCTCGTCGTGCACCCAACCCGATACGATTTCCCCCAAGGTCGAGTGTTGTCAGTGTCTGCGTAAAAATTCTCAATGTTACTCTAAGAAGATGAGTAGTAAATAATGATTACTGGGTTGTTAGTGACAGCATTGATTAAAGCTTTTGCACCTTGAACACCAATGTCACTGTCTGAAAGATCAAGTTTGGTGAGTGTCTATATGAAAATCTACATTGTCTTGAGAAAACTGAGTAGAAAACAGTGTACTACCGTGTTGTTTCTGAGAGCACCAGCAAGACACTCTGCTCCTTCGTCTCCCACATCATTTATTCGAAGATGCAGGCTGGTGAGTGTCTGTGTAAAAACTTCGAATTCTCTAGACGACGATCAGTAAGGAATGCTACATTACCGTATTGCTTATGAGAGCATTGGCAAGATGCAGTACACCTATGACTTTTATTCCATTGCCTCCGACGTCAAGTGTGCTTAGTGTCTTTGTGAAAACTCCTAATTGTCTAATGGAAGGTCAAAACTAAATCGTTTATTACTGTGTTGTTTATGAGACCATCAGCAAGATACTTCGCTCCCTGATCACAGATTTTGTTGCTAGCAATATACAGTTCGGTGAGCGTCTGCGTAAAAACTCTAAGTTACACAAATGAAGATAAGCAGCAAATGATATATTACCCTGTTGTTTGTCAGAGCATTGGCAAGATGCCCTGCTCCTACATGTCCAATACGATTATCTTCAAGGTCAAGTGTTTTGAGTGTCTGAGTGAGAACCCTAAATTGTCTAGCGAAACATGAAGAACTAAAAGTGTGTTACCGTGTTGTTTCTCAGAACATTGCCAAGATGATTCGCTCCTACAGGTCCAATATTGTTCCGTTGAAGGTTGAGTGTTGTGAGTATCTGTGGTAGAAATGCTAAACTGTCTAGAAGAAGATGAGTTACAAATCATTTATTACCGTGTTATTTGTGAGAGCATTAGCGAGATGCTTTGCTCCTTCCTCACTGATTGCATTACAGGCAAGGCTAAGTATAGTGAGTGCCTGTGTGAAAACTCTAAGTTATCCAGAGAAAAATGAGTAGCATATAATGCATTACCGTGTTGTTAGTGAGAGCATTGGTCAGATGCTCTACTCCTTCGTTGCCGATATTGTTATTTTCAAGGTTGATTCTAGCGAGTGTCTGTATGAGGACTTCAGGTTCGCAAGACGAAGATCAGCAACAAAACAATGTATTACCGTATTGCTGATGAGCGCATTAGCAAGATGTCTCGCTCCTTCGTGCCCGATAAAATTTCGTTGAAACTCAAGTATGGAAAGTGTCTATGTGAAAACTCTAAATTGCCTGGACCAACATGAGCCGTAAATAGTGTATTACCATGTTGTTAGTGAGAGCACTGGCTAGAAACTTTGTCCCTTGGGCATCAATGATGTTGTCAGCAAGACTAAGTGTCTTAAGTGTCTGTAGATATTCTTCTTTGATTAGAGAAAGATGATTAGCAAATTTAATGCTACCGTATTATTTTTGAGAGCATTAGCCAGATATTGTGCACCTTCGAGCCCGATTAGATTAGAGGCAAGGTTGAGTGAAGTAAGTGTCTGTGTGCAAACTCTAAATTGCAGCGTCATATATCCTTCAATAATTTATGGAGCGAAGGGTTTATGAAAACAAGAGTATTTAAAAATAGGTAGGATATAGGACTAGTAAAAACGAGTTTTATGATTCTATCTATAAGGTTTCATTATTCTTTTCGTTGATAGGAAAGATTCATTATTCGACGCTCAAGGCTTTATTATTGAACTTACTCATTAATAGATTTTATCTTTTTATGTAGAAGGATATTTTGTTCTACATTTTTGGGAGCTGGAATTGTTATTCTATGCTGAGAAGTAAATTATTTCACTGCTTTGTAACAGGGCTAATATACATATAATTGCAGCTAACGTTTTTTATTTTCGGTCATAATCAAGTAACACTTTTACTAAAAACAACAACTTTGGTTGGTTTTTCTATGTTATAGATAAAAAAGACTTAAAGCCAGTTTTCTTCTGTCTTTACCAATGTTAACCAGCTGTTTTCATCATGTTTTAATTAATTATGAACAAGATTGATCAGCTTAATTAGGAAAGTTCCTTTTTTTGTGAAACTCACATATATTTTCGAAGAGAATAGTGAGCGTAAAATGTAAGTGGATATTTTTTAGGTTCCCTACTTCCGCTTCCCTGTGTATTACAGTGCAAACCCACATTCATTATAGGTCACCCTCATCACAGAGTTATCCTCCATTACAGATCGTAGCAACTTCGTTCGGCAGGTGTCAGACTGCATTCTGTCAGTTCAGTAGCAACGGCAAAAGGCACTGAACATCATAAACACGAACATTTGGATAGGCAAGAAAATTCAAAAACTTTTCTCGAAAGTCGAATGAATAGTATACTTTTGTCAATATTTTCAATGATGCAGTTGTCGAGTTTTGTGCACATGACTATTTATATACAAGATGTCACGAGCAATAGGTACTGATGCATTGATTTTCCATCGTGCTCATCTGACATGATAAAAAAAATGAAACGATTAAGTCATAAATTTGAGAAAACATCAATATGAGTATTTGTTCGCTTATTAAGACATATAAGAGCTCTTTGATAGCTGCTGTAGATATAATGTGTATAACAGGCTTATTTGTCAGCTCAGTCAACGGCTAGAATAACAATAATGTTAAACTAAGAAAAAAAGAATATGAACAAGAAGACTAGCAATGCAAGTCGATGATTTCGGTCTCTAGAAACAATCAGATTTCAGTAGA